CATTGTCAGTCCCAAAGGTAGTTGCATGAGTGGCTCATATGGGGTTGCTATTGGGAAATAGACCGCTACTCGGCGCCTCCAGGGTGGCGCCTCCAGCGAGGCGCCTGTGTTACATTCACCACGGGTTGGCCTCTCGTGCACAACTTGGCGACCGCAAATTTGTGAAGCCGGCAGTGTTCGCTAACTTCACCGGCCCGCATAGCCTGGACAACGGTTGCAGGGAGTTCAGCGTCCCGCGGCGCTCTGGGGTGGGGTTTTGCTGCGGGGGCAGGCGGGGGTGGGGAGGCAGTGGGGCTGGGCTGAGTGCCGGTAGGCTGGGTGCCTGCTGCCGCCAATGTCGCCAGCCCCGCGGCTGCCATGGCGGCCGCCGCGGCAGCGCCCTGGGAGGGCGCCGCCTGCGGTGCTGCCGCCGCCTCATCATGCGCGCCCCCAGGAACAATCTCACGTCCCTGTGGGAGCTGGGCACATTGAGGGCCGGTCCGCATAGCCTGGACAACGGTTGCAGGGAGTTCAGCGTCCCGCGGCGCAAGCGGGTGGTCTGGGGCGGTCTGGGGGCAGAGGAGCGCAAGGAAATGCTCAAGTGCAGCATCAGGGTTCAGCAGCAGCCAGGCTGGCAGGGCATCCGCCCGGGGCCGAAAGACAGTGTGGAACCCATGGCTGTCATGGGGGCTGTGTACACCCGAGCGGAATGGGGGGCTCAAATTTGCAGGACAGGAACCGTCTTCGCCGTGGTGCGGGATAGCTTGACTGCACTGGAAAGAAGCTCCGTTCCAGCGAAGATAGCCGCAAAGGAGCCAGCCGAAAATGGGTGGTTGGGGGTTGGCAGTCGCTGCCCACAGCGTCCCTTTGGCCTGTTTATCGCCGGAACGGAGCTTCTGATAGTGATCAGGGCCCAAAACAATCGGCGAAAGTGCCTGAAATCGGAAAGGAGGCCCGCCGGCCGATTCCTGGGGGTGGGCAGGAACTTCCTGCCCACCCCCACATTGAATGTGCTAAATTCCGGCAGGGGCGAGGGAGAGTGGCCATATTCCAGGCCATTCCAGCCGGCGATAAAGCGGCCGGCTGGAATGGCCTGGAATATGAGCCACTCGACCGAGCCCCGCCGGAATTTCGTATCTCTACGGATTGGGCGCACCCACTGGCTGTGCATCCCGAAGCGGGCTTGGCAAGTTTCAAAACGGGCCAATTTCCGGGCAGCGGCGGTGTTGAGTAACACCTTTTGAGTAAAATAGTGAGTAAAAGAGAGAGAGAGACAATAGTCAGAGCCCTGGGAAGCCGTGCTGCTGCAGCATCTGGGTGAGCGGCGCCGCCCGAGCATAGGGCAGGCTGTCCATCACCAGCTGAGCCACCTGCTGATCCTGCGCTGCCCGCCTTCACCTTTGCGGCCCCCGCCCGCCCGCCTGGCCGCTCTCCCAGCTACTGTGCCGGGGTGGGTGAGCCCGCTTTCTGGTGGTGGTGGTGTGCGGGTCCTCGACCTGCCCCTCCCCCCCACTGGTATGCTTGCCGCCCTTGGGCTGGCCATCAGGCGCCCCTCGCCTCCCTCCCCGCCCTTTGCGCCCGACCGCTCCCTGAGCCCGCCCTTTGCCGCCCGGGCGGTATTGCATGCTTTCATACAGTCCAGAGCTAGTGGGCACGGCTTGTGTGCCCCCAGCCCATTGATGGGCGTTGCCTCTGTAACATCACAGATCACAGATCACAGATCTGCTGCTGCCGACGCCTACAACAGCCAGCAGCAGCAGCTGTGGTTCCTCAAGGCCGCAGCGGAGCAGCTGGCCCCCGTGCTGGCCGCCGTCTACACAGCATGGCGGCGGGTGGGGCAGCTGGCCACCCCTGACGCGCTCAGCATCATCGCACCCATCCTCAAGCCCGGCGGCGACCCAACCAGCTGCAGCAGCCTGCGCGGCATTGCCATCGGCACCATGGCCGCCAAGCTGTACGCCGCCATCCTGGAGCAGCGCATCTCAGACTGGGCAGAGGCCAGCAACTTCAGAGCAGCAGGGCAGTTTGGCTTCAGGCGCCAGCGCGGCACAGCGCAGGCAGCACTCGTGCTGCGCGCACTCCAGGACCAACACCGCCTGAGAGGCCAGCAGCTGTGGGGCTGCTTCGTCGACTTCAAGCAGGCATACGACCGCGTGCCCAGGGAGCAGCTCTGGCAGAAGCTGGCGGCACGCGGTGTGGACACAGCCTGGCTGGCGGCAGCGCAGGCGCTGTACAGCAACGTCCCCATGTCGGTGCGCACCTCAGCCGGGCTGTCGCCCTGCTTCCAGGCCGTGACAGGCCTGAAGCAGGGCTGCCCCCTCAGCCCCACCCTCTTTGGCCTCTACATCGACGACCTGGAGGAGGAGCTGATGGCGGCGGCGCGGCGTGGCGAGCAGCTCGACCTCCCCAGCTTCCTCGGCAGCGGCGGCGCCGCGGTGGCTCCGCTGCTATACGCCGACGACATGGTCCTGCTGGCCACCTCAGCGGCCGGGCTGCAGCGGCAGCTAAACCTGCTCCAGCAATACTGCCGGCAGTGGGGCCTCACTGTCAACATCGACAAGACCAAGCTCATGCTGCTCAGCGGGCGGCGGACCCAGCACGCGGCGCAGCAGACAGCAGAGGCAGCAGGCCTCACCTTCGCCGGCCAGCAGCTGGCGGCAGTCACCAGCTTCAAGTATCTCGGCATCGCCTTTCACTCCAGCACCTGCCTGGCAGGGGCAGCAGCGCCAGCCCGGGCACAGCTGGCGCGCCTGGCTATGCACAACTGCCGGACCCGCTGCGCAGAGGTGGGCATCGAGGCGGCGCCCGTCCAGCTGCGGCTTTTCGGCACCATGGTGGACTCGGTGCTGTCCCATGGTGCTGAGGTGTGGGGCGTGCAGCTGGCGGCCAAAGCGGCGTGCTGCCATCGTGGCAGTGCCGGCAGCGCGGCCGAGAAGCTGCAGCTCAGCTACCTACGCCACCTGCTGGGGGTCCGGCAGAGCACCCCCAATGCGGCCCTCCTTGCGGAGACTGGCGAGCGCCCGCTGTGGCAGCGCTGGCTGCGGCGGGCAGCCAAACTCTGGAACAAGACGCTGGAGGAGCGTCCCGTTAGCCTGTTGCAGCAAGCGCAGTTGTCCAGCGTGCAGCTCGCAGATGGCGCCCACCCCCTGGCACAGCAGTCCTGGGCTGCCCAGCTGGCGGCCGGTCTCGCAGCGGTCGGCATGCAGCTGGACCTGCAGCAGCCAGCACCTGTTGACCTCGGCGAGCTGGGGGAAGCTGCGCAGCGCCGCCAGCTGGCGCAGCTCCAGGAGGCGCTGGCGAAGGGCGGCGCCAGCCGGCTGGAGCACTATGTGCACAACGTGGTGGGCGCCCTCAACCTGGCGCCCGCCATGTTTGGGCAGCGCAAGACCTACCTGGATGCAGTACGGCGTCGGCAGGACCGCGAGGCGCTGGCGCAGCTGCGCACCGGGTCGCATTGGGGCGCGGAAGAGACCGGCCGCTGGACGCGGCGCCCCCGAGAGCAGCGAGTCTGCCCCCACTGCCACGACGGCATTGAAGATGCCCCCCACATGCTGCTCACCTGCCCCCTTTACGCCCCGCTGCGCCTCAACTTTCCTGACCTGTTTGCTGAGCCCCATCCTCCCCACCGCTTCCTCCGCCAGAAACCGTGCCGCCTCGCCGCCTTTGCTGCCGCCTGTCACCAGCGCTGGCTAACCGCCACCGTTGCGCTGCCTGCAGTCCCGCCCTGAACCCCTACTCTCATGTCCACCCCCTTTGCTCTTACCGCACCACACCTGCTCCACGACATGCAGTACTGTCTGCCCGCTCACACACTAAACGCTCGGTGACCTGTCAGTTGGCCTGTCCTGCCTGTTGTTCTACTGCTTCATCCCTCCTTGCTCGAACAACAAAGTCTGTGCTGCAAGCTTGTTCTTGCTGAAACCAGACTGTAAGCCCACACAAGCCAACTGTAAACACAAAAAGCAAAGCTCCAGCGCATTTTGGAATGCGCTGCCACGACCTCGAGGCTGTGATCGCCGGACTGTCAGAACTGCCTACAGTCGTCGGCTGGAGGCCTGTGGGACGCTGAGAGCGCGCAGGGAGCGCGGGAGCGAAGCACTTGGAGAGAGGGGCCGGCACGTGGGCATGCCCGGGCAGCAGAGCGTGCCTCGCGGCTGCGCCCCTTCAGACTGGTGTAATAGGCCACGGAGGGCCGGAAAACGTGCAGAGACCGAAAGCAGGCGCGGCAGGAGCGACAGAAAGCCAGCCGGACAGCAGGCTTCAGAGCTCAACTAATTATATAGATATAAATAGAAGATAGATTGATTGAAGATATACAGATGCATTACTTTCGCTGCCCAGCCAGTGCAGCGCACGCAGCGGGCGGGAATGCTGGGCCCGCGGGCTAGCCCGGACAGCTGGGAGTCTTCCCGTCCCCCGTCCAGCTGGAGGCCTACCTGCCAGCTGGCTGCCCGGAGCCACCTGGTCGCCCGGAGGGCCGCCACGAGTGCAAATTGCACGCACGCCGGAACAAACCACACATCATGCATCCTTCCTTCCTAGGCATCAATTCCTTCCTTCCTTCCTTCCTTCCTTCCTTCCTTCCTTCCTTCCTTCCTTCCTTCCTTCCTTCCTTCCTTCCTTCCTTCCTTCCTTCCTTCCTTCCTTCCTTCCTTCCTTCCTTCCTTCCTTCCTTCCTTCCTTCCTTCCTTCCTTCCTTCCAGCGCCCTTCAGTCTACGCACCGCCCTTGTTGCTGATGAGCTGTGTTCGGCCTGCGAGTGGCCCCGCGGCTGCACCTCCGAGGCCAGCACAACAATTGCGGCCCTTCGCCGCTGCCCACTCATACCGTCGGCAGTGGCCGCGGCGGCACTGGCAAGGCATCACTTGCAACGTTGCCCAATTGGATGCACCAGCCGTTGAGCAAGCCGACGCCACCGTGACCACCACAGCAGAGGCGCGGCCGCCCGCGGCCGCCCTCGACCCCGACCGCCAGGGAGATGAGCAGTACAGGGCCTTCTTAGACAATTGGGAACGTGGCTTTATGGATACTGAGGAGGACCTCGTGGGCTATTGGATGGACTGCGACTGGGGCCGGGTCCCCAACGAGCTGCACGGCACGCTGTTCAGGTGAGGGACGGCAACAGGCTGCACTTGGCGCGGCTATGATTGCTTTGGGCCTTGCCCACCACTAAACTAGTACTACATTCACACGTTCAAACGCAAGCAGCTGCTGGAGTCCAGCAGCAGCAACCAGGGCATCGCCTAGCAAGCTCACCACATTCAAGACGCGCCACGCCTCCACCGTGCAGGAATGGCCCTGGCAAGTTCACTGTAGGCACTGACAAGGTCGCCCATCCATACGATGGCGATGGCCTCATACTGTCGATCACCTTTCGCGACGGTCGCGCTTTCTTCCACTCACACTTTGTGCGCACTGCAGAGTGAGTGAGCGGTGCCAGGGTGTGGCGTACCGCTGCACCATTGCGGCAGGCTGCTCCTGGCATGCAAGTTGCATGTTGCGCCGCCAGCGGCTGTGTGGGCTGTGCATCCGCTCTGCTGCAAGCTGTGCTGAGGCCTGCCGACGGGAGTGGTCCTGCCCTTGCAGGTATGTTGCGGAGAGCCAGGAGCAGCGCATCATGTTCAGGGGCACCTTTGCCACCCAGCGGCGCGGGGGCCAGGGCCAGAACGCTCTGGACCTCCACGTCAAGAACACGAGCAACACCAATGTGGTTTGCTGGGGCGGGCGGCTGTGGACGCTGTTTGAGGCTGGCCAGCCATATCGCCTCAACCCGCGCACCTTGGAGACCGAGGGCATGGAGACGCTGGATGGCCAGCTGCGGGTCGGCATGCCTTTTGACATGGGGTCCCCTGCAGCCAACCGAGCCTTGGGCTCCTTCCTCACGGGCACACAGGAGCGACTGGGCAACGCGCACTTCATGCCGCCGACAGAGCTGCTTGCTGCAGGTATGTGGTGGGGGCTGTGTGCTGCATACACCTTGCTTGATAGAGCGTTGCTGCAAGCAGAGATTGGCTTGTGTGTGTGGCTAGTGCAGGAGGGGATGCGATGACGGCGCACCCACATGTTGACAGCACCACAGGGCGCCTGCTCTCCTTCTCCTACCAAGTCACACACAGCTTCACCAAGCCGATGGGAACCACGCTAACCTTTTGGGAGTACACGCCAGGTAAGGAGCTGTACAGCAGGTGTCACGCCCTTCTTACTTGTTGAGCGTAGTGCAATGCTTCAGCCAAGCTTGCCAGACCCGGCACATTCCCCCACTTGCCTGCCCTTCTTGTTGACCCGGTTGCAGAGTTCGCGGTTGCAGCTAAAACGACGTTTGAGCTGGCAGGCTTTCCTTTCCTGCACGACTTTGCGTTCACAGCCAACTACTATGTGATCTACGAAAACCCAGTCAAAAGTGCGTAGGCACCAGACCAGCTGCCTATCTGGCGGCATGCATTCTTGTTGTTTCTGCATGCAGCCCGCAGCTTCAAATGTAGTGCCCCGCTGCCCCGCCTAGCTGCAGTGGACTATGTGCCATACATCACTGGCAAGGCCCCTGCCGCCGCCTGTGTGCACTGGAACGAGGGCAAGCCTGCCCTGCTGCACCTGATCCCCCGGCCGGGCAGGACAGATGCGCAGGTGCGTCATGCTGCAACGTGCGTCTCTTGTTGCGCAGCCAACAGTAGCAGGGGCAGCGGCTCATTGTGTGCCTTCCCAGTGCAGGGCCGGCCGCTGCAGCACCGTAGCTTCACTGCCCCATCAATGTTTGTTTTCCACCACGCCAACGCTTTTGAGTCGGAGGATGGGCAGCACATCACAATCGACTCCATACATTATGACAGCATGCCAGCGCTTAGCCTCGATGCGATGGCGGAGCAGCAGGTGAGCGGGTGGGGGTGGTTGGGTCGAAGTTGGCGGGTTGGAATGGACTACTTACATGCCCAATGGCAGGCTGCTGCTCTGTTTGCGGCGCCAGCAGACCCTGCTACATTGCTGCACATGTGTGATGGAAGAGCAGCTGCAGCAGATTGACCTTCTACCTGCTGCCCACCTGCTGCCTCTCATTCGCAAGCTCACTGCTGATTTGCTGCACATCTTGCAGATTGACCTCAATGTCGCCTTGAGCAGCCGCCTGCGCCGTGTCGAGGCTGATCTGGGCACCGGCACGCTGCGCATGCGCAAGCTGTATTCAGATCCCCTTGAAATGGTTGTCATCAATGAGTCGCTCATGGGTACACAGCAGCGCTTCGTGTATGGCTGCCAAACCATCTTACAGCCTAACATGGCCTCCATGGGTATAGTGAAGGTGAGGTGGGCAGTGATTGGGTACCAACGCTTGCTGTCACGCCGTTACCCGTTGCCCATCCACAAAAAACAATGCCCTCCTGTGTGGCTACACAAAGTCTACGCTGCAAGCTTGCTCTTGCTGAATTTGGACTGTTAAGCCACGCAAGCATGGCTTGCCGCTGTGCTGTCCTGCCCTCAACAGGCTTCCATTCCTTTCTGCTGGCTGCAGGTGGACACCTCGCGGGGCTCAGCAGCTGTGTGGCAGCCTGGCCACCAGAAGTATGCTTTGGAACCCAAGTTTGTGGGGCGGCCAGGGTCGACACAAGAGGACGACGGCTGGCTGCTCACAGTCGTGTTTGATAGCGGTGGGTGGCGTGCAAGGGTGTGGGAGGGCGATCAAGTTTGACAAGTTTGACACAAATGGCATTCCCACACACCATGCACGTTTGCTGTTGTTGTTGCAGCGACGCTGGTGTGTCGCCTAGTCATTCTCGACGCTCGAGATGTGGAGGCGGGGCCAGTGGCAACGCTCCGGTTTCGACAGCCTGTGCCCAGCGGTCTCCACGGCTGCTGGACCGCCACGTCCTACGCGCCTGGAGTCGTGTGAGTGCCGCTTGCTTTGTCCTCCTTTCTTTTCTCCCTCCTCTCCCTTCTTCTACAAGAGTACGCTTGTTCTACTAGAGTACCCAGCCTGCCTTCGGCCTTCACTTTGACTTGCTCGTCACACTTCACCATGTATCTCTAGTAGTATACACACACCTCCCAATGATTTACAAGTCGACTCCATCAAATAATCAATCTTACCTGTGCCACAACTCGCTTGCCCCACAAGTCGCCAACACGGCCCGGCCCTTGAGTGCCAATTTTGCAACAGCTGCTGGATTGCGTCAGCGAGCGGCGCCAGATGTTTTCTCCGCTGCCACTGTTGCCTGTATATCTCCTTTGAATGTGCTATGTCCTGCCGCCGCATTGCTGCCGCCGCCCTGTGTCTATGACCTAAAAAAGTTGCCCAACCACATGTGTTTGCTTTCTCTGCTTTCGCCCGGTTCCCGTCCCGTTTCGGCGGGGAGTCTATGTTGCAAGCTAGTTCTTGCTTTACCAGACTTTAAGCCCACACAAGCAAGCAAGCAAGCATGTGTAACGCAAACAACCTGTGTGAACAAGAATGAGAAGGTTGCGCCAAGCTGTACCCCACTTTCTCAGTACTACATCAACGTTATGTTTAACTGCTCTGTGGCACGTTCACGGCAAGGAGCCGTCCAAACAATATTTGCCTGATGCTGAAAGCGCACTGGTCACTCAACCTTTGCGCACATCAAGCGGTGAGGCAACGCTGTACTGCTGGCAGCGGGCTCAGAAGGCAATTACTCAAGGGCCTCTGTGGGCCACACATCCCTCCACAGTGCCTGTGTCCAGCATGTGGGCTGCCCTGGTGTCCAGGCCGGTGTCAATCTGGCTTGTGGCAGGCAATATGCCTGCGAAGGCCCCTGACAGGTGCAGGTCAACTGTGTGCTGCTGTGGTCCATGCTGTTGCCAGTGCCCTGCCAATGCATGGGACCTGGGAACAGCAATGAGCCCGTAGCAACACTCCAGCCTGTTTTTGCACCATCAAAGTCTGTGCTGCAAGCTTGCTGAAACCAGACTGTTGTAGCAGGAGCCTGAGCCGGCTCCCTGCCTTGCGTTTTCCCGCTTCCTGGTTACCTTATGATTGATCGCTATGATGCTATTCCCTATTCTGAGGCTTGTCAGCCTTGCATCATGAGCCGCTTTCCACTTCGCTTGACTGTGTACTTTACCCGTGGAAGAGCAGGTCCTGTAAGCATTCTCACTCGAACAAGCCCGCTCCCAGGAACCGGGTGCGGCTACAATTGGGGGGACATCCGAGAAACAGTCGTGCTGCACTGCTGCAGCGCGAGATAACTCACATGGCTCAGGTGTGTGCCATGCGCGAGTAAGCGCCTAGCTCGTGCCTGTGCCTGGGGGTAGGGGTTGGGGACATAGCTGGGGGAGCCGGCAGGGGCTTGCCGGTTATGCATGCAGGCCATCACTAGCAATCGGGCTGCTCTGAGCGCCACCGGGCTGCTTTAAGCGCCACTGGGCTGCTTTACGCGCCACTGGGCTGCTTTACGCGCCACTGGGCCGCTTTGAGCGCCACTAGAAGCCCTGGGAGACTAGCCTTGTGCTTGGAAGGGTCGGAAGGATCTACCACCATCCACACGAGCCCCACCCACGGCGCGAGCAATCCTCCGCGCCTTGTGCAGGACGCTGACGCCATGGATGAGGAGCTGCTGGACTACACCGCCGCCACGCCTGTTGCGGCCGCCACGGCCGCAGACCCTGGTAGGGGCTCGCTAGACGCCCAGCTGGACCTGTCGCTGGAGACCAACATCGGCCACACCAAGGCAGTTGCTCGGCAGCAGCGCGTGGAGGCAGAGCGGGCGCACGCGCAGCGAGGGCGCAGCGGGGACGGGGGCGCCAGTGGCAGCCGCGCACGCGCCAGCCGCTCCCGCTCCCGCTCGCGCCAGGCGCGCAGCCCCCGCTCCCCGCCCCACGGCGGCAGCAGGCACGGGGACCACCACCAGCGCCTGCGCGGCGACCGCGGCCGGGGCACGGTCCGGTGTCATGAGTGCAACCGGGTGGGCCACTATGCGCGCCATTGCCCGCGGCGCCAGGATGCGCGGCGTGGCGCACCTTACCCGCACAGCAGGCACGGGGACCACCACCAGCGCCTGCGCGGCGACCGCGGCCGGGGCACGGTCCGGTGTCATGAGTGCAACCGGGTGGGCCACTATGCGCGCCACTGCCGCGGCAGCCGCCCAGGCAGCCGCCGCCCAGGCAGCCGCCCAGGCAGCCGCCGCGGTAGCCGCCGATACAGCCCGCGCAGTCGAGGCGATGAAGCTGGTCGCCTACATGGAGGCGAACATCCTGCGCCAGGGCTGCGTGGCCATGTCAGCGACGGCGGTGCAGACCATTGAGCAGGTGCAACTTGTCAGCGCTCACCAGACCCAGACCATCGCTGCGCAGTCGCACGGGTGGGCTCCCAGCCTCGCCCCAGTTCGCGCGCAGCACAGCTCCCTGCCAACCAACAGCATGAGCGGCAGGGACGAGCGCCAGATGGATGTGCAGTGCCATATTGCGCGTTCGGACAAGGCTTTCGCCCTCGGCGTGGCGCAGGAGGCCGCACGCGGCGCCAAGTGAGCGGCGGCAGTGAGCAGCACCCGCTGAGCGGACGTATCGTACCATTGTTGCTTTGGATTCTATCGGCTTGTGAGATGCCACCTGCATGCACCCTACCTGGTTTTTGGTAACCCCCCACTTCACCCAGCCCCGCTGCACCCCTGTGGCTGGGGCACGAGCTTTATGAGTATTGATTGGTACTTGCAGTAGCTACCCGACTGTTTAACTGAGTTTGCTTCACGGTACTCTGGACTAGAGATAATCAGCTGCCATGGAGAGTGGCACTGATCCCCGGGCGGATGGAGAGTTCGCCCGGCCCGGGCAGTGATGGTGCAGGTTCACGCACAGGTGGCGAGCTGGATTCGGCTGCGCCCACAGGAACAACAATACTACCCGTTGGCGGCGGCGGCGCAGGAACTGGCACTGGTGATGAGTTGCCTCCGGCTGCGCCCCCCGCCCCAGCACTGGGCCCTGCTGTGGCTGACAGCACAGGGTCGGGCGGCCCACAGCAGCAGCAAGGGGTAGACGACCCCCCTGCACCCCTGGCTGGCACACCTGCCAGGGCGGGGCAGCGCCAGCCCGGTCAGGAAGTGCTGGGCACCCCCGGCTACCCCACCAATGCGCCCACGGAACCACCACAGTTGGCTATGCCGGGGCATCCGGGGGCATACCGGCCCCCAGGAGTGCATGAGCCCCACTTTCAGTATGTGCCGCTGGGCACAGCTGGCTACCCCCCTGAGTACCAGGTGGCGATGCCAGGGATGTTGCCGGCACCCTACGGTTACCCTGCCCACCAGCAGGGCTACCTGCCGGGTTTCGGTGCGCAACCAGGAGCTGGCGGCGGCGTCCCGCTATTCGGCGCAGGTACTGCTGCACCCCAGCTGCTGGGCCAACTGGTACAGCGAGCCGAGCTGGACAGCTTTCGACAAGCACTGTTGGCTGACATGAGAGTCATCCTGCAGCAGCCCAGCAGTACCCTCGGGCTGTCGCCCTCTGCGGGCGCAGAGAGGCACACGCCGGCCGCTAGCGGCGGAGCTGTTGTGACAGCTGGTGGCGGTGGCCCTCCGCCATCAGGCGGCGACGATAGCGACGAGGAGGACATGCCTGGTTTGGAGCCCAATGAGGGCCCCCCTCGAGCACGCGTGCCGCCGCATGGCCAGCCAGGCGCTCACGCCACGGCGCGCTCACCCCAGTATGTGCAAGGGAAGCAGGCTGCCAGCGTGGTGGCGCCCCCTAAGGCATGGACTGGCTTGGACCCGAACGTCAGCTATGCCGCCTTCATGGCAGCTATGTATCACTACATGCAAGGCAAGGGGGAGGGCGCGGACCCCTCCATCACGGCCGGTGATTGGAACGGCCACTTCCGGTCACTATTGGGCTACACACACGTGGCTGCCGCGGGCAGGCCCGCCCCTGCCGCCGCCGAGGGCGCGGCGCAGGCGGCGGGCGCCGTGGCAGGCCGTGCTCATGCCTCACAGTTGACACCGGCACATCAACAACTGCATGAGCCATTCACTCTCCCAGAATTGACGGAGATGGCGCAGCGAGCGAAGAACAGCAAAGCCAGCTTGGGTGCCCTGAAGCCTGAGATGCTGAAGGGTGCTATCAAGCAGCTAGGCCCTTCGCTCGTCGCGCTGCTTAACGCCTGTGTACGGATTGGGGCGTTGCCGGCCCAGTGGGCGATCAGTGCGCTGACACCGATCCGCAAGCCTGGTGCGGACCACCTGCGCTGTGACGGCTACCGCGGCATTGCCGTGGGCACACTGCCGGCCAAGCTGTTTGCCAGCATGCTTCAGAGCAGGTTTACAACCCACACTGAGGCGGCGGGCATTCGGGCATCTGGCCAGGCGGGGTTCCGGCCAGGGTACGGTTGCCGTGACCAGCAGCTTGCACTGCGAGCCATCATTGAGCGGCAGCGGGCGCGTGGGCAGCCGTTGTATGCCTGCTATGTGGACTTCAAGCAGGCCTTTGATAGGGTCCCGCGGCATCTGCTGTGGCAGAAGCTGGAGAGCGCCGGCCTGGGTG